AAAATAAATTACTCCAGATAAAGCTGAAAACTTTGGTGTTAGATCAGCAAAACTAGCATTCTTTATTCTTAATATACAGCGAGGTCCTAAAGTGACGGCTAAATTCATTTGCGACCGTATTAATGATCTGAAGAGAAAATCCTGAAACAGGTCGATTTTAAATTAAAAAAATTTGACGTCGGGTGGGGCAACTACCTTTTTTATTTTTTATTTTAATAAAACGAGTCGAAATGTGACACCTCGTTTTAAAGGGTTTTGATTTTTCTATTTAATAATCTAGTAGATTTTTATTTTTAGATATTGGTTTTCAAAAAAAAAAATTGAAAATGCATTTTGATATTTCCAAGACAAATTTAAATGGAAATAATTTATATCATGTGCTCAAATTGGGTGCCGTTCATTTCTTCACATAAAAATAACATTGTTGAAATTCTTGTAAAACACTATTTAAAATTTTTTCTCCTAGTATGCTCTAAATTATTTTTGTTATGTTAAACATATTAACCCTCTATTGCGTGAATTAAATATAGTTTTCAAAACTGCTTCAAACAATTAAAATTTAATCTTCTTAATGTAGAAAATAAGAAAATAACATAATTACCACTTTTTTTTGGAAACCACCACTTCCCCCATTTTTTTCTATTCCCTTTTGGGTACATTATGCATTCAAAGATAAAAAAATCCATCGGTATTGAACGTTTATTGAAAAAATTTTGCGTAACAATAAAAATTTATCATTCATGCAATCGCACGAAACAATTTTCTTTTGATTAAAGCATTTTACACGAGATTTTCCTTTTCATCCAAGTAGTTTACACCTTTCGATCAGGTTTATTTTTGTCCACTGTATAACCTTGTTTTCCCGAGAACAATTGGAAATTATAAGACATGCCAGAAATTCTACTAAGAACCCACATCTTGTAACCCCATTTATGGGACTTCTTAGGGTTATAAGTTTTTGTTTTTATGTTTATTCTACCCTTGAATGGAATTAATTATATGTTCATCACATGACAGGTGTTCTTCGAAAGGTAAATCCAAGCAAGCTTTCCTAATAGTTTCTATGGTTCTACGACATATCGTCCCACCGACAACTCATCCTACGACAATTCATCCCGACAATTCTTCCCACGACAAATCATCCCTGCGACTATTCATCCCAACGACATTTCATCCCCCGATAACTCATCCTACGACATCTCATCCCCGACAGTTATAAATAAATCGTATTACCGGTATAATCCACAGCGCAGAATCGGGCTTAGGCATGCTTTATCATGTTTTTAAAATAAATTTTATAAAATCCGTAGATCGGGCTTAAGCATGCTTTATCATGTTAACTTGGATAGTGGATTTTTCAATCTCGAAATGATCCAGTTTGGTCTTGAAAAAATTCAACCTCAATTAAACTTAAATTAAACTTTCGATTATTTATTGAAACACAAATAACTGAATGATAAACTAAAAACTTTTCAAGTGCAATGACGGAAGTGCAAATACATTTAATTTTTGAAAAAACAATAAAAATATAATATAAAGGTTTATAAATGTAATAAACATAAACATATTACTCATATTACTCATATTATAAGGCCCTCATATTATACAACAATATTTTTATTTATTTTTTAATTTTTGAATATTTATTCGATTATTTATTATATAACAATGTTATGAGAAATGCCAGTGAGATATTGTATGACCCGATTTTTATCGTATTTATTAATTAAGTTTTTCAACCGTTCATCGTACTCTTTGTAACGCCTTCTCTTTTTCGGGGCCATTTCCCGACCAGCATTGTTTTGTTGAATTTTAATTTCAACCGAATTTTGTTCTCTTTTAAAACTTTGATGAATTTGGCGACGCCTGCATGGGCAGTTCGAATTCGATCATTAAATGCGTTATGCCAGCCTTCCACAACATTATTAGTACGTGGGCAATCGTACAATACAGAATCATAAACATTCCACATTTCCACTTTGAACAATGGTTCACTGCGCGTTCCATCACGTCTACGTACACCAATCCACGTTTTTTCAAAATAATCAAGCAAAGGCTGGAATTCTTCCTGGGAATCAGTAATATAATGATCGGAGTAAGTAAGGAAAGTTTCATAAGCGTCTATTACATCTTCAATGGGCACAAAAGCCAACGCGATCAACATTTTCACTGCTCCCTGAAATTGCTCATCCTCTGCATATTTTGTTTGAAAACCTAAACCTTGGACCTTTCTCCATATAGCTTGTCCAAAATGAAAATGACATCCTTTGATCGTAGTTCTCGGAAATTTTAATTTGCAAGCCTTATAAGCTGCCATTTCAAAGTCTATGATAATTTGTTCTACGTTCAATCCAATAACCAAATGGAGCAAGATTTCAAATACTCTAAATTTTCCGGGGTGGTAAAAATCATGATTCTGTTCTTATCGACATCATTATCATATAGAAGGAAGTTCTTGTCTCTCATAGTCTTTTTATATGCATCGGGAAGTACAAGTTCTTCAACAGTGGCTGGATTTTTAAAATAATTCCATTGTTTCTACCGAGCTCTTTGAACCGTTCGCTGTAATGAGCCTGGAGTTGGCAGTTGCACAGCAACGCTTTCGGAAACATTGTTTAAAGCCTGCTTGATGATGTTGTCGGTTGCATCGTCTGAAACGGCAGCTTTTCTTTTTATGCGGGAAATAATACGTTTCACCGCAATATCGGCTGATTCAGGTGTGTGGTTTGAGCCGTCGGTGGATCTATTATATTCCCTAAAATGTGAAAAAAGTAATTGTGCATTATCACCAATCATATTTCACCAAATTGAATCCAGAAAACTTTTAATTTGAAATCTTACGGTTTTTTTCATCGATGTTGTGGAAACTCTACTCCCGCATATTCTGGACTGGTAATGGACACATCGCCAACTAACACGATCACTTGTTACACGGTGACAACCATAAAGAAACCCGTCCAATTTTAAGTGGTTTTTACCCCTTTGACTTTTAACAAACTCGAGCGGCATTTTACTTGACACTTATTGATATTCTCTTGAAACACGCACTCTAGATTCTCTCAGTTTACTGTCATGCATGGAATTTTTGATTATTTATTCAAACACCAATAACTCTATATTGAATAATAATGATACTCATAACAGTAAACAAATCTTTTGGGAGAGGAACGGCCTCGAAGCTTACCACGACTCTGTGTATTTATTGTCAACAATATTATTAATAAACGATCTAAAATCTAAACTCTGTGTATTTATTTTCAGTAATAATATTAAAAACAGCATAAAACTTTGTATTCATAAGAGAATCAGATTTTTAGAATATTTGTGGGATGAGTTGTCGTGGGATGAATTGCCAGAAGGATGAATCGTCGAGGGATGAGTTGTCGTCGTGGGATGATTTGTCATTTTTTTTTTCTAAGGTATGAGTTGTCGCTGGGATGAATTGTCGTTGGGACGATATGTCGTGTTACGGTTTCTATTACTGGCATAATTTTATCCAAGTTACTTTTATTTTCTGTATTGTCGCTAAAGTGTAAGAAACTTTTGATCAACTTGAAACGATTCACTGGCATGACATCGGCAATTTGTGAAATCCTGGTTTGAGGAGACCAAAAGCGTCTAGTAGTGGGTTGTCTAATTATTGACATCCATAGAATTACTCCTATAAATCTTTGAATTTCCTCAAGACTTATACATATTGGTCTATTGTGCCGTATCTGGCGAACGACTTTAATCAAAAATGGAGTATTCAATTTCAAAATTTCTTCAGGAAGTAACTCAATTCCTAGAAATTCAGAATTTATCTCAATTCTTTCAGTCATTGATTTTTTCCAATTGATCTTGGGTTTAGTTGTCTTTTAGGAAGTGCTTTGTTATTTTGAGGTGCTTGGGTTCTTCAAAGTGCTTGGGATCTTTTATTGGGTGCTTGGGTTCTTCAAAGTACTTGGGATCTTTTATTGGGTGCTTGGGTTCGGGGTGCTCGGGTTCGAGGTTCTTGGTTTCTTCGAATTCCTGGGGTCATTCGAGGTGATTGGGTTTTTACATTTTTTTGAGGATTCTTATCTTCTTCTGAAAACTTATTATCTTCTTCTGAAGGCTTGTCATCTTCTTCTGAAGATATCGTCTTCTTCTGAAAAAATAAGAGGGGTAACCTAAAGGTGGAAGTTGTTACGTCAAATATTTTTAATTTAAAGTTAAAAATGGACCGTTTCAGGATTTTCTCTTCAAATCAATAATAAGGTCGCAAATGAATTTATCCTCACTGTATTTTAAATAAGCAGATTGAAAAAATTGACAATTTGATTGATAATTTAAAGAACAACTAACTAACGAAATTATACAAAAACTGTAATAAACTTAATAGTAGATAGATAATATGTTATTATTGGATCAAGATTAGAATAAGATGTGGAAAAACATGAATACATAATCAACATCCCATGAAAATAAGTTACATAATAATATTGTTGTTAATAGTAATACGAATGAGGATATACGAATAAGAAAAGAAGTAGAAAATTTGTAGAGTGTCATTGTCGTTTGTCCACAAATTAAGGTTAAAATTAAATTAAATTAAATTAAATAAACAACAAAATAAGTAAGCGAAGTAGGAAAAGAGTTATATAGATATGCAGAGTATTTGACATTGTAGCTTTCCTGTAGATTATTTATTGCCCTTTCCCTTGGGCTAGCCCCAAACAAATATTGATTACCTTGTTACTAAATCATAGTGCCCTTTATGGATAGATTCGAAACTTTAAACTTATGTTTATTATCTCATAAATAATTCTTCATTCTATCCTGTCTTCTCTTTTCTTAATTCTTTCCCAATGTATTTCCATCGTCTCAGAATACTCCTGATTTGTCACTCCTTGTTTTTCTTGATCATCCATTTTACTCTTTTTATATATTTTTAAAAAACTAATAAAATACTCGAGAATATTTCTTAAAAACAATTTTTTTATTATTTTGCTAATATTGTATTTTCTATTATTTTGCAGATCGAGATTGCCTAATAATGCCTGGAGACAAACGACTAGATCCCATAATCAACAAATCGTCGACAGCCTATTACAATTATGGTAAATTATGTTTGCAATTTTTGTACTAAAACAAACACATTCATCTGAACTAATTGAAGGTTTCTTTTTTTAATAGAATTGTAAAATTCACAATAATAATAGCGATAAGAAAAAAAATCCAATGGGGAAAGTGTAATGCGTTTATAAATTTTAATTTGGAAACGATACGTTTCATTCTGTTTTTAAATACTTTAGTTATCTTTCCATTAAGGTTTCGTTTAATTTTCCTGTTTATTTTTGTCGTATTCATTATTAAAGTGATAATAAGCATATTATTAAAATATTTAATTTCCTATATTGAAACATAACAGACAAACATAGTGAATCGAGTATATTTAATTTCTTTTTATTTTCGTCTGTCTATATAAGTAAAAATATTTAAATGCTTTATCCCTTAAGCCTGTTCATCTAAAAGTATTTGGACACTTTACGTCTGCCCATGTAAAAATATGCTTGGCCCTTTTATCGTTAAACTCTCCTGTGTAAAATATTTGTGATTATTAGTCGTTATGCTTGTCCATGTAAAAATAATATTTGGGCTTTATTGGGCTCTTTTGGTTCTAATATTAAATTCAGATCCAAGATCCATCTGGAATTCGTAGAGCTCGTTCAAATATTAAGAGAAGAGTGTTAAAAAGTGGAGGTAGGACAATTTCTGCATCGTCACTAATGCAATACTGAGGCCCATTTTGTAATAAAAATAATTAATAGATATTTGGTCGATGTTTCTGTGCTTTATTATAAATGTATCATAAATTAAATAGTCCAGTAACTACGTAACAATTTGCCGAAGTTTTGATATTTTGTGATTCTACGTATTTTGAGCTGATTTTTCCGAATTTTTATTTTGCCACCTCGTATCTTTGCCGCTGTCGCCGCCATATTGCAATAAATTGTAAAAAAAGAAATTTTTCAAGATATTAAAAGTAGTAATGTAGTAAATTAAACTACATAATTTTCCCTACCAAATTGGTCCCTATCATTTTTTCATTTTGTTCCTCGTACACGGAAGCAACACTTTTTGAAGTTTTGGCTTTGATGCGCCCTCCTTTGGGTATTGACGGGAGTGACTTTTCACAGTTCGTTTTCGACAATGTGGACTTTAATACTCAAACCCTGGATGGCAGAAATACTTTCATGCCATGGGAGGTAACCATTGTATAAAGCTCGCAGGGGCCATTGCTCCTGATCACAAAAATGTCGTCAGCTCAGTACTTCGAATATTCTGGTAGCATTGCACTACGAATCCATGAGAAGATAAACTGTTCTAGTCTACCAGCGAATTCCTATTTTAAATCTCCGTACTATTTCTTCAGTCGCTAAATTCAATAATGTCAACTTCAGATCTGCTGTGGCTCTACGGGAAATGGGCTGATTTGCCCAATATACCTGGATGGAATGGATTTATGGAAGAAGTGACAGTAAACCATTCATATCAGAAATCTTTTATAGCTTGTTTGCCTTTCATTAATGCACCACCGACTGACTCCAACACGATTTTTACTGTTTTAGCATCAGCCTCTGAGAACAGGCATTAAATCAGCAAACATGTTTCATCACTTTTGATAAGCCACTGTATTTTAAAGCAAACATTGTCTGTTTTAGTGGCATGGAAGCCAAATTGAGAAATGTCGTTATACGATTTGGTGGCTTTCATTTATTGAGGTCGTTAATAGGAGTCATAGGGTATATTATGAATGGTAATGGATTAACCGAGCTTCTAAGTACAATTTTTGCAACGAACTCACTTGAAAAGATCTTATCTGGACAGGGATTCTTATGTGCGAACTCAACACGTAACGAATCAAATAGAGAGAGACATTACATAAGAATCGCATTTTGTGGAACGAAGATAGTCGTCTCAACACGTGCCGTATTGAAAGATGAGAATTCCAATGCAGGTTATGCATACTCTCATCCGTGCAGAGCACCTGTGCCCATCTTGCAAAATTGATCATTCAGAAAATTGATTTATCACCAGACCAACACGCTGGAGTAGAAACAAATTCTATGCGATTTCGACAAGTCGGTAATACTTGGAGCATACAAAGAATTAGCTTTAAAATTTGAAAATCATCTAGTTACGTGGTCCAACTGCTAAATTATGGGTTTCTTACTTTCGAATGGTATCAGTTATGAAACAATTTATTGAGGCCGAAAGAAGCGGAAACTGGGACCATCATCTTAATAGTATCCAGCAAATGTTGCCCTATTTTTCATGCCAGTGGTTATTTTGGTACGCTAAATGTGGCCATTTATAATAACAGGATATGTATAGTTTAAAGCAGAGGTTCCCAAACACTTTTGTTTCATAGACCACTTTTAAAATTTTGCTGGATCCGGTGGTAGCTACATCACTACCAATTTCTAAATCTCGAAAAGAAAAGTGAAGATTAGATCTGTCTATGGAAACTTGCGTTGTGGCTGAGTTTTAACGACGAATTAACAGTTTTCGAAAAAAAGTTTAAAATTGATTGTTTGATAGGATTAACTATTTGATAATAAAGTCGACTAAACAAATGTTCAATTAAATTTTAATTGATTGTGCTGTGAGTGGATGTCAAAAAAGCAAAGTTGGCCAAACGAAAAAGTAACTCCATCCAACTTTACTTTTTAGAAATCTACAGTAACTCACAGCACAAGAACCAATCAATTCTCACAAATTTTATTTAGAAAACGTCCCATTTGGAGTGGTAAAAAGAAATATAGTATATTTCCTTGTGTTGTAGGTATTTATTTAAATTTAAATATATAAATTCATACACTATTAATTATTATTGTTATAACCGTCGTAATATAAATAAAATTAAACACTTATAACGTAATGTAATTTCTACAATGGTAATTACAAAAAAATATAATTTTAATGAGAGGGATGTACTTGATGGATTGACAGCAAATTATCAATATTTGGCTTGAGTTTTGTAAGGAATAACCGTAAATCTGCCCTTATGTTATGTTATGTTATGTTATGTTGATAATGGGGTGTTAATACACTGCGACCTAAAAGATCTATTGTGCCCCCTTCTGTCGCCACTGCACTAAGGAAATGTCTCAATGCCTATAGCGACCCTTCCAATCCTATTTTCTCAAGGAAGTGTAGGATTTGAAGTGGCTTCAAGTTAGGTAAGTCATCCTCTTCTATTTGATATCCTCCTAGATATAGTGCCCTTGAATTCTGGAGTGCTACACATTCAGTTAGGATGTGAATGGAGGTTTCGTCCTCCTCCTCACAGAATCTGCACTCACTATCCTCTACTACTCTCAGTTTACTTAGGTGTCCTTCTAGTCGGCAGTGCCCGGTAAGGATCCCTGTTACAATACGTAGCCTGTTCTTGCTCAGGCAGATGCAGGCTTCCGATCTTTTTTGGTTATATTCACCCAGAAGTGTCTTGGCCTGTCTCAGCCCCAAGAGATTGTTCCAATTATCGGTTCTTCAACTACTCAATTCTTTTTTAATCTCTTCTAATATTATGTTACTGCTGATACCGCAGAACGGCTCAGGTCCTACAAAGGGTGTTTGAGCCCCTTTCCTTGCAAGACTATCTGCAATCTTGTAATATTCAATCTGCTCCTTTTTTTTGTTAATAAGTTTCTAACTGCACTAAAACTTTTTTCGATGGGATATGACGAGGGAAACGCTTTTGCACAATTCCCCACAGTCCAGGATATTTTTCGGGTATTTCTGCATGCAGCCAAAATTTTTGATACCCTCTTTTAAATGTCACTGTCAGCTCCTCATTAGTGCTAATCTCGAGTAGCTCCTCTTATAATATCACATTCTCCACTTCCGTTTCATCAAATGGATTTATGATCCATGCTAGTATTTCCATCGACAGAATATCTTCAAATCTGAATTTAAAATCATCATGCAGGGCAATCAAATGTTGAACGTTTGTCTAAATATCTTTATCAAGGTATTGTACCGCCGACAAGTTTGAAAACTGTGAAAATTCGCGCCGAACAATAGTTTCCTTCATAAATTTCAATTTACCAAGAAAAGCTGAAATTACACCCTTTGTTTTTATTAAATTGAGGCTGTCCCCTTGTAATTGTAAGTTGAGGTCATAAAATTTTTTAAACAAATCTGTCAAATACGCGATGTCTGATTTAAAATTGATCAATTTTTTTTTAAATCAGGATCTTTACTTTCCAAAAACTCTAAAACTGAGTCAAAAAGTAAATATAATCTTGATAAACATGCACCTTTCGACAACCAGCGTACTTCGGTATGTAACAGCATTCGTTGGAAGTCTTCATCATTTTCATCGCACAATTGTGCAAATAAACGCGTATTCAATACATTGCTTCTTATTTTGCTAACTGCATTAGTCACAAATTAAAGCGATTGGTGCAATCTATCACTCAAATTTGTCGCTACTAGATGTTGTCGGTGGATAACACAGTGAATCGCAATTACCTGTGGTATAATTCTTTTAAGATGGCCTATAAACCCACGATATCGCCCGACCATGGCAGGAGCTTCATCTGTTGCCACCGAAATAACGTTTGTGAATGGAATCGATTTTTCTTTAAAAAAAATTACTCAAAACATTAAATATTGATTCACCTTTAGTATCTTCAAAGTTTTCGCGAATCAAACATATTGCCAATAATAATGCTTCATTGCCAGGTAAAGTTGACTCGTCCAGTTAAATAGAAAAATGAGTTGTTCGTAGATATTCACACAAGAAACTTTTAACATCAGAGCTCATTTCATCAATACGTCTTTGTACAGTGTTGTTACTCAAAGGAATTCTTTTGAGTATGTCAAATGAAGATTTGTGCAGAACAGTTTTTAAAACCTCTTCATCAGCAGGTAAAATTAACTGTTCTACAATGGTGTGAAGAGAACATACTGTGCACGGTGGGTCTCTTTTCATATTTTTCCTCTAATGTTTGGAAATATTTCAAATCTTTACCTATTTTATCAGGATGACACCTTCTTAGATGATCTTCCAACTTTGATGGTTTCATAGAGTCATTGCTTAAAACTTTGTTGCATAAAAGGCATGTGGGCAATCGTTGTCTGCCTTTGATGAAAGAAAATCAAATTTTTAATATTCAACACTGTACTGACGACACTTCTTCTTAGATTCGGCCATGTTTTGTATCAATTACCTACCTGTAAATGTGTAAGTAAATAAATTTAAAAAAAACTTTGTTTTAGTAATCTTAAGGCGATTCGAACTTAACAGGATATGGCTATTTTAACATAATATGATTAATCAATTATTATAAATATTACGAAATAAACAAAGTTCCGCCTGCAAACTGTTTCTAATTATTAAAAGCAATAAAGTTTTTTTATATGTATATACATTATAATTATAATGTATATACATATAAAAAAAACCTTCAGTTTTTTACTTTGGCCTTCTGCGTTTAACTTTCTTCATATTAACTATTGTTTTCTAGATTCAAATTTCAATATATATTTTCCACAGTCACCCTCTATTTGTAAATTTCTTTAAATTTTAACTAATTTGTTAACTTGTTTTCAATTGTGCGAATGGTGAAGGTGGTATAATTCCTTAATTCCGCACAAGCTAACTTGCTTCTGGAGATCAGATATGATTTGTAAGGGCTTATCCCACACTCACTATTCCCAATACTGGATTTTTGTCACTTTGTTTGTATCTTTTAATTGTTAATTTGTTCAAACAGCCGTATATATACAATTTTAACTCTTGACTTAAAAGTCTTAATCAGATTTATATTTTTTAAATTGTAAGTTTACATCCACAAATTTTGTAGATTAGCACTGATGATGGCTAATAAGCCGAAAGCGCTTTGTATTTATTAATTAAAAAGTTTTGCACGAAATACAAGTCTTTCCTTTTGAATCTAAACTACGTGCACACAGCTGTCAACCTTTTTTGGTTATTTCAATCATTTAATATATTTTAATATATTTCTGTAAATTCTATAGAAAATTTTAAACAATATTTTGATATCAAAACTCCGCAATAATTAAATGAATTATATAGGTAATAAAAATAAAGTAGGGACGATAATTTTAATCTTTCTCGGCTTTAAACTATATGCATATAACAAATAGGCAGGTATGTACTTACTTTTCCGACACTGGCAATCACTAATATCGAATAACTTTAAGTACTTTTCTTTTAGAAAGTCTGAAAACAAATTCAGTCACTGGCCAACACTAATATCGATTCACTTTACTTTTCTTTATGAAATTCCAGAAACAAATAAGTAACGATTATCCTTGACATTCGTATTTATATTGGTGAAGAATCAAATACGTTCATGCAAGATTGCAAGCACATACACTACAAGTCGTATTAATTTGCACGTCTAAACAAGCGTTGCGGACGGGACGGTGGCCGGCGCGGCAACGACAAGTCTCGACGCGTTGTACTGAATATGGAATATGCAAGTTTTACAAGTAACAGTCGTTAAGCTTCTTAAAACATTATGTGCCTATATTGATAAGAGAAGTCAAGTCAACATTTTAGTAACTAAAATGTTGACTGTTTATATTATAAACAGTTGAAGTTTTTTACAAGAATTTTTTCATCACATGGAAAAATGAGTAATCAATTGTTTAATGCTTCACTATCGAAATCAAATTAATTTTCATGCACCCCCGCTTACGATTGTGGACACCCATTTTTTATTACGGCCAACGTAGACCCCCGTCGAGTCCTTCGTGTTCCCCTTTTGGTCCACCTGGACCACTTTGGAAAATACTGGTTTAAAGGAAAAGATGAATCCTACAGAATACAGGTCTTTTACAGATGGAGGGTGCTTTACAATTAAAGGTTCTGGAAAATTTTGGTGTGGCACATGGTCAGACATGGTTATTGAGAAATCATTAATGCCAACGATGAAAACCGTAGGTGGACTAACTCGTTTGCGGGAAGTCCAGGAGAGCGTACTTTCTAGGTGAACTATGGGAATGTCATTCTTCCGCAATACTATTAACGCCGATGAAAATTTTTGCAATTAAGAGTTTAGCACTTCGAAACAGCATGTTGAATTGAGAAGATCCCGGATTATTTGTGATAACAATGATGTAAAAAAATTAATTAATGGATTGGTTTTCCCAACATTCGACTTTCCTGCAATGAAAAAACTTATGTCAATAAGTACTGAAGTCATTTTTGATGTAAAAGCAACTAGTAACAATTAACAATATATCTTGAAAAACCTCTTTTTTTACAATTTATAACAATATGGCGACAAAGGCGGCAAAATTACTAAGTGGCAAAATAAAAAAATCAAAAAGAGCAGTTAAAAATACATAAAATCGCCAAATATCAAAACTTCCGCAAAATCTTCCAGCACATAATTACTGGAGTAGAAGCTGTGAAAACAACTTATTTTGGCTCAATGCATATAAAGATTCATTTCACACAAGATCGACGGAAGTCTAACGTGTCCCTGCTGTCTTATGTTTCCATTTTCCAGATTCTACGTTCCTGATGTCATCTTTTCTGTCTAATCTAGGACTACTTTTTCTCCTTCTTTTTGAAATCCACGTTACTTTTTTTGACACCCGTTCTTTTTCCCTCAATCTCTAAGCATCTGATAACCCAGAGTTATCCAATCGGCATCCGGTATATTGTTTTTATAAACAGAAAAATGCTGATTATAGTCTTGATATAATTTATGTTCAAATAATTACGCCAGTAATTTTGCTAAGCTTTTTACAATATTATAGTAATGTCTATGGAAATAATGATATATCAAATATAATCTTTGTTATTTTAGTTTCTCGTCTAATATTTGTAATTGCGTTTCATTAGACGTTGAAAATTTTCCTATGATTATCGTCAATTTAGAATTTATTATACTTATTTTTTATATACGGCAAAAATAAAATTCGCATCTTAAGTTCAAAGAGCGATAAAGTATAATAGCAATTTTTTGCTGCATTATTTTCGTTCAGTAAATAGTGTCGAATAAAAAGTACATTTACCTAAAATATTTTTATAGGATTCGATGATAAAACAGACTTAGAGAAAGATATATCAAAAAGTACATTAAAAGCCCTAGAACAGCAGGAAGAGAAATTGAAAAAAGAAAAATGGTATAGTATCCTTACTCAAGTTAGCGTCCCTTTTTTTATAGCTGGAATTGGAACTATTGGCGCTGGAACTGTTTTAGCAACTGTAACGGTAAGTAAACTTTTTTGTGTACAGTGATGCCGCGGGACGAGAGATTCTCGTTTCGTCTTGTCTCGAATAGCTAGATGAGAGAGACCTTTTCTCTCGAAAAAAATAATCTAGACAAGACGAGAGAGTGTCATCTCTCGGCGAGAATTTCTCGTTTCTCTCGAGCTCTTTAAAATTTTCAATAGCTCATCGTAACTTAAAATTTGAACATATCAAATATCCAGATAGTCAAAAAGTTAACTATAACCCACGTATTCTATATATGCATTAAATGGTAACAAATAATACGTGTGTAACTGGTATTTTATCAAGAGTGATTTATAAGAAAAAATATTTTCCATGTCATTTATTTAAATTTAATTTTAATTGGAAACTGGAAGAAGTTTTTTTATCTACGATCTAAACTGAAAAACAAAATGGTAATCGTAACTATCCAAGTTCCAGGATTGCTTTTAGGTGAAAGGTACAACAAAAACACTAATTTTTAACAGGTTGAGATTACAATATATTTTAATATAAGATTAAGTACACATTTTACAGGTAGTAATAATTTATATAATAATTGGAAAATGATCGTCTCTGGCACATTTTAGGACCAACTAAACCAGATCTAGCAAATATAGTAACTACTTCTATTCCCTACTATTTTAAAAAAACATTAAATTTTAATCTATTACCTAATAGTGGTTACAACCAATGAAAACTTATATATAAACTAAATTACAAAAGAATAAGTGAGCAACTTATCTCTAAACGGGGTATGCAAAAAAACGAATCCCACGAATCAGGATTTCAGTAGAATTTGGGGATAAAACTCCTAAACCCTATTTCTTCTGTACCATTGCCCACGAAAAATCAGTGAATTAAATTTAAAACTGCTTTACTTTATTTGCCTCAAATTCTAGCTTTAAGTCAAGCTAGCAAAAAAAGTTTATACAAAAACAGACATTTTTTTATTAAACTTATTGCGATAAAAAAATAGCTAAATTCTTACCCATAAGGACGTTTCACTTCTGAAAATTAAAACCGTAATAACGAAATACTAAACACAAAGCTATAATGAATAATTAGGATAATTCGACTAATGTGGTCCCTAAATTATTCCTATCGAAGTGTCTCCCACTACAGTTAAAATGTAACAGAAACAATTTTGAAACTGAAATCCTTTACCGATTTGCAAATCAAAATTTACACGTTGGTACAGAACAACTAGAGTTGGAGGATAACAGAATAAGTAACGGTTACTACAATGTTACTTACAGATATATACTTATAAAATGCTAAAATAATGAATACAAATATGAGGTGAATAAATATGACAAGCAGATATGCAATATACCACTTACCATAAATCAATTGAATTTGGGACGTAATATGTTATGTTATGTTGGGAATGGACTGTTAATACACTACGAACTAAAAGATCTATTGTGCCCCCTTCTATCGCTAATGCGCCAAGGAAATGTCTTAGTGCCTATAACGATCCTTCCGATCCTATTTTCTCAAGGAACTGTAGGATTTGGAGTGGCTTCAAGTTAGCTAAATCTCCCACTCATTATTCTCTACTACTCTCAGTTTACTAAGGTGTCCTTCTAGTCAGCAATGCCCGGTAAGGATCTCTGTTACAATACGTAGGCTGTTCTTACTCAGGCAGATGCAGGCTTCCGATCTTTTCTGGTTGTATTCACCCAGAAGTATCTTAGCCTGTCTCAGGCCCAAGAGATTGCTCCAATTATCGGTTCTTCTACTGCCCAATTTTAATCTCTCCTAATATTATGTTACTGCTGATACCGCAGAACGGCTCAGGTCCTACAAAGGATGTTTGACCCCCTTTCCTTGCAAGACTATCTGTTCCATATTATGTCCCGGGACCCAAGTGAGAGTAACTCTATTTTTCTCGCCTAGTTCATTCAATTATTTTAGGCATCTCCAGACCATTTTTGAGCTAATTATGTAAGAGCTCAACGCTTTGATGGCTGCTTGACTATCGGACATGATGATAATCTCTTGTCTATGATAGTTTCTCTTAATGTTAAACTGGATACACTTCTCGATGGCGAGAATTTTTGCCTGAAAGATGCTTGGGTGTTTTCCCAAGCTTTCGGAGTGCTTGGTTCTCTGCCAAACACTCCTATTCCAGTTCCTTCTATGGTTTTGGAACCGTCCGTATACCACTGAATAGCATGTCTTTCGGTTGCAAACGCGATGGATTCTTGGCTCCATTCTTTCTTGCAGCCCAGCTCTGTGGTTTTGAAGTTTTCTGGGGCGTAATATACTTAAAATTAAAATTTCAAACGAAAAAGCTTATCATCGTGATTTCAGTAAATATTCCAATCTGTGATAAATGTGTATTAGACATTTTTGAATTTTTATCAAATTTGATGCTTGATTATGGATTTTCAAGTAATGTAGAACTTTACAAGATTTGTTTTTGTGAAATGTAAGATAAACTTTTTATATCTTTATAGAACTGTTTGGGATACAAATTGGTCAGATTTTGTTGTACCTACAACTGGTTATTATTATACAAGTTTAAAAGCTAAATAAAAAGTTTCACCAAATGAAATAGCGCTAAAGTGTTCCATGCCGTAGATGTTTTAAATTATTAAGAGTTGATATGTTGATAGATTTAGCTGGCAGGCACTGATATAGAGTATCGGTACCGCAGAGCTCTTTCTTTATATAAAAAAAAAATATCGTAATAATTTTCATTCCGTAAAATTGAAACAACAGCGATTTTGAAGTGTTTTTTCGAAAAACTGTCAGAGAAAAAGTACTTAAGAGGTGATTTAGCTCAAATTGCTGGCACTGCGTGGATTCATAAATTGACCAGGACAAATGAAATCAGAGCAACTTGACCTGTTTGTGGGCCAAAGTCTACTTTACGAAAAAATGAAAGATACTGTACAATACGACAACGACAAAAATGTTGAGGGCCACCAAGTTTTTGAGTAACTTGGAAAACTTATCTGATTTTATATGCCCTGTTTAATTGAGTCAGTCTCTGGTACTTAAAGTTATCTGTTATGAGTTCTGGCAATTAAAAGAAAGTAAGAAAATTTAATACATTTAATAAAAAATAAAAAGAATGAATTTATACAATAAATTAATACTTAATAATTAAATTTGAAAAAATGAATGAATAAAATTGACTGTTAAAAAAAAAAAGAATTGAATGAACAAAAAAGAGGTAAATAAAACAAGGGTGGTCCTTAAGATCTCACAAGAGAGGTAAAAACGAATGAGCTCATAACTAATAAAGTGGGTTTAAAAATTATGAAAGTAGTCAAATATCAAGAACTCACCCGTATTACTCATCTATTTAAGACTAGGCTTGGAGATTATCACAGGGTCGGTGTGAAAAAAAAAGTATGCGAGTATTTTTTAAGAAATGCATAAAAACAGTAGTTGCAACAAAAGTTGATGTTAAAACACAAGTAGGTCTAAAACTATTAATTAAAATTATTAAAATATTTCACGAACGGACAGACATTAAGACAAAACAAATTTAAAACTTTTTAAACCCTAAAAGAACTAAAATGGGTTCTTAGACAACATGAAGTGTTTATAATTCTGAAGGTATAAATTTTTTTTATTTTAGATTAAAGATACTAATTAGCGCCCTCTAGATATAAATAGACGAATTTACAATTCTTATGTTTAAGAAAAACAGTTTAGAGGTTGTCAAATTTAAATATTTTGACATCGGCTAATAGATGGCGTTGGCAAAATAAATGTTTCTTAATTAATAATATAGGTTTTAAAATGAATTATTTGAATTTGTATATAATAATAAACAAAATGAAATAAATTAATTATTATTGTTACACGTAGAGTCTAGCATTAGCGTCGGAAAATAATTTTTAGATGTACTTAATGTTCAAATTAAGAAGTTGGTAACATATCAACGGAAAAAGAAAGGAAAGTGGTATTAAAAGGAAAGAAAGAAAGAGAAAACTATTGATTTGGTTAGTTGTTTTTTTGAAGTAATGTGCTGAAAAATGAAAATGGAAAATGGAGACAGAATAAAAATAGGGAATAGATAAGATAAGTATAACTAATAATTAAAGTCAATAGAATTTCATAGGGAGATTTTAAAGTAAAAAGGGAGGTAATTTAAGGGAACCAGAAAAATATGGTAGAAAATGTAAAAAAAAATATCAGCTGACTTTAAATATGAATAAACACTTGTTTTTGATCCTGATATTGTAACCATGCTGACTTTTTTCTACTACAAATGAGCTAAGCCTAAATTCTTACCATGGCGATGATAGAATACAAAGTTAAACAGTTCATAACTTTTCATACTCCACAATTTTCTTCTATCAAGTTGTTAAATAAAATTACTAATATTATTAAAAATATAAAGAACAAAAAAGTACTAGAACTGATTCTATATCTACCGAATTACTAAAATAAATGGGTAAAAATATTGCCGATCCTTTACTTATCTTATAAATTTGTCAGTTTCCTGTGTTAAGTTTCCGTTCCTCTTAAAAGTAGCTTCTGTTATTTCTGTAGATAAAATAAATTGTGCTGAAAACCTAGCAAATTGTCTCAATTTTAAGTATATTTTATAATTTTTTTGACAAACTCGCATTACAATAAATATTCAATACGACGGGAATTTATTTGCAAATTCAGATTTTATTAAGCAAGCTTATCATATAGATCGGTCAAATAGATTTTAAACTCTTTTTAAGATCAGGGAACAATATTTTGATGTAAGTCGGAATAGGCAGTTAAAAATGAAAGTGTCAGTTGCCGCTAAAGTTCTAAGTCATACAATGTCTGCAGCTGTAGAAAGCATGATTGGTTTTGCTCCTGGAAGCCTAGCAGCATTTGCAATTGATTCTGCAGAATTTGTGGAAGACACAGTTAATTTGTTTGATAGTTTAAATGGAAGTAAACCAACTCTAAATTGTGGGAAACTATTAAGGAAAGGGACATTTTAAATTTTGGGAAATGTAGAAAGTAAAATAAAGATTTGGTCATTTCATGCT